GGGCAAACGCTTCAGGTTAGCAACATATGCTGCAGGAACAGCTCGTGCTCATCCAATCATAGGTACTTCCGATTAGCTAAAACTAAGTTGAATTAATCTAAAACTTCGTCACCCACTGGTTAAAAGCGGGTATTTATACCCAGATTAGCAAAATATGTGAAAAGCACAAAAGTAAGTAGCTAATTATCTGCTACCGGGGAGATGCAGGAAATGAACGAAAACTCGCGATTATCTCGCATGTCGACTAAGTCTGTCTGTCCTTCATGCAACATGCTAACGTTACTTCAAAATGTTGACTTCATACGTGAAAACACGAGGATGTTGGGATGCAAGTACAGTGGTGGTGTATACCGGTTTGCCAGATCTATACGACACCTTGTATTAGAACGGTATTTTATCCGAGTCTCAATGTATGTTGTATTATATCAACTTTTATATAGAAATTTGTATTGAATTGTTTTATATGGTTTTGAACGTTACATGTGGAAATGCATGATCTTTTTAGGGCTGGTCTGCGAACATTCCCGTCCACGCTTCCACGCAAATACGACTCCTGATTGGCTAAAACGTGAATTTTTCCGGATAACACAACCTCAAAAGCAGGGACGCCTGAGTTGAAGCAGGGATGATTCATCCCTGCTTTTGAGTGTCCGTTCCTGCTTTTGCACGCTTTCGATAGAAATTAAGAATTTTTTTTGATATATTTTCAGAATCCTCGAAAATAGTTCGGATAACATCCCTGCCTTAAAGCGTGGATGGTTTTTCACAGACCAGCCCCTTAAAATTGACATGTATACATGCTGCGCTCGCACATGTGCGCATGTGCGGAAAGTCCAAGCGCAGGTGGTCAAATTCTCGGGAGTGACTCATGGAGGTGAGCTGAAACTGTGAGATCATGTACTCCACATGTTTAGGAAGGTAGTGCATGCAATTATTCTTACCAACGTGAAGTACAGAGGACGAAAACGACGACGGTGGAGGACGAATTTGTAGTTTTTCGGGCACATGCGTTGCACATGCGCATGAGATGCCGCTATCTATAGTTAGCTGTCACGGTGCAGGTTGTGATGTGTACATGTGCCGTGTAATAGTCTACAAGTTGGTATGCGTCCCATCCCTCGTCGTCATTCCTAGCCTATGTATTCACCCACAAAAGTTCCGCATTTTGCTCATGCGCGCATGCGTCGAGTGTCGAATTTTTCTTGCACATGTGCACATGCGGGGATGAAATGATTTCTTTCTGATATAGAGCGGGTAGCGAACGGATAGTAAATTTCTATAAATATATAGGTAAATGTATGATCAGAAATTAAATTTCACATCCTATCCGACAGGTGGTGAGGCAAATACCCGGTTTAACCCTTCAAGTAGCCAAGTAGCGCAGAATCATCAGTTTGTCAAACGAGCGATTTGGGAAAGCGACGAAAGGAGTTAGCAATTCTGTGAACATCACGGCAATGTCCGTTTACATGTTAACGGTAGTGGATCGCAATGTCAAATTTACGGCCTGTTCCTGCATCTCCCGGGTAATTCCTCGCTTTGTGAACTTTGTGCCCTTCTCAATATCGACAATAGTGAAGACAGCTGGTTTCGCAAAGTTGGTGACATTTTTGTTTTATATTGTACTACTACGTATTAATAGTAGTATCTGTCTAGAATCCCCAACCATTACTACAGGGGAGGGAAAATAGCTCAGTGGTAGATCATCGGTTTTTTAACTCAAAGGTCCCCGGCTTCCCCCAATTATTTCCGCAAGGACCTCCCCTCTGGAGAATCCGGATAACAAGGGCTGCGTACGAAGACGAGGACCGAACTTCGAAGAAGATCGGTCGAAGCACGATGTATGAAGCGTTGAGCGAAGTAAAAACCGAAGATTACACACCGCCCCTGGTTCGAGCAGTCGCGTTACAATTGGCGAAGGAATTCCACAACATGTGGCTCTAGAGGAGGAAAGTCTTAAAAATGATAATCCAAACTCAATTAACCATTTGCTGCTCCAGCACACTCCAAGAAATCTCCTATCAGCGGAACCAGCCGCTAGGATGGTCGCATGGGTGTGAAACTTGGTTGGTTCGACCAGTAGGTGGCATCGATATGTAGATTCGATATGAATTTCCGGACCCCACCCAATCGAAATCTCGCACTACTAGAACGTAATTCGCACTAACAGTAAACCAGATGTGCCCATTACTGTCAGTAAAAAATGTACATACCAACCGAATCGATTCCAAATCCATCAAGGGGGTTCACCAAGCCACCATCAACTAGTTAACACGCTACCTCATTGTTCATTTCACCAAACTTGCAAACATGAAGTCAACCGCGCTCTTAACTCCGATGGCCTTGATCATGGCCATGATGGTCCAAGATGCTTCTGCCCACGGCCGTCTGCTGGTGCCTCCGCACCGCGGCTACATTGGCAAACTGCCGCAATTCAGTGACTTTGTTCCAGTCAACTTCGGTGACCACAGCCTCAGCGCTGGTGGCATTAG